GGGAGGGGGAAGGGAGGGGGGAGGGAGGAGGCACAACTGTTTTTCATTGAAAAATGAAACGGTTTTCACCTTTTTACAGTAGCAGATGCAGACCCCAGGGCTCGATCCCTAGCCCTTACCCTACCGATGTACAGTATCTGTGTCGAACGCAAGACTTGAACGCACGACCTGTGTATTTGTAACAGTTGATAGGCTGTCGTAGGTTGTGGGGGTTCGATCTGTAGGTCTGTCGAATGGAAGTCTTAGCGAAGTCTAGAAGTCCTAGCTGTAGCCTTCTAGAAGGTCAGCAAGTGGGCAAGTGGGCAAGTGGGCAAGTGGTGAGTCAAGTGGTGGACTAAACTGCAGTGCAATTGCAGTACGACAGTGGTAGGTTAGCAGCGAGTCCCCACTCAGTCAGTGGTAAGGTCCAGTCAGTCCCAGTTCGGTCCAGCAAGTACCACGAGGGACTGTGAGCACCATGGGCCGATGGAAGAGGGCAGACCAACGAGTTTCAAAGTATAAATCAAGAGGCAGCGCCCAGCCATTCGTTCATTCCTGCGTGAGCCATGCGGAAGCGCTGCCACAGCGACTTGTGCAAGAAGCTCTGCAGTGAGCCCGGAGCTGAAGTGGGCGAGAGAGAAGGAGCGTAGCATAGCGATAGGGTAGAGGCAGCCACAACTGCCATAGCTGTAGTTTAGTGTTCAGTGTGTGTGTGTGTGAGAGTGTTCAGAGAGACGCGTGTGGGATATCCAGGGTGATCCGGTGTATGTGAACAGTGAGTTGTTTGGGCGCTGAGTCGCCATAGTCATTGAAAGTGAATTCGTATCTGGGTTTCCATATCTCTGAGTTTTGAGTGGGCGCATGTCGCCAGTTTGCTGTGCTACTGTTTACATGCATGAAAAGTGTGAATGAGAGCGAGTCTGATTGCATTGGTATCGGAGCTGGTACCCGCTATTCCACGCGTCGAGTTGTGTGTCGCAGGAGTGATGCGCCATAGCAGAGGTGGCCGCCGAGAGTCATAGTCCGCCATAGCGGACCTGAAGGTTGGAGAAGCCGCCGCACACCTGCAGAGAAGACCACGACGAAGAAGAAGGACGAGAGAGAGAGAGAGAGAGAGAGAGAGAGAGAGAGAGAGAGAGAGAGAGAGA